CTTGGCAGTCGTCGGTGTCGGGGAAGGCGTGTTCCCCCCAAACCGGTGCTGGGGAAGGCGAGTCCTGCCCTTCCTCTGCCTTTTTCTCACTCCCTGATGCTTCTGGAGATACATCCTCCTTTCCCAGCATCGCCTCGGCCGTGTGCGCTCCCTGCGGAGCGGGACGGGAGATCGGACGCTTCCCAGCCCAGGGCTAACGCCGAGGGGCTTCGCAGGTCCCCTTCCTGGGCTGGAGCATCCCGGTGCTCCCCTCTCCTCTGACTTGGCTTTTGACGGGGGCTGCACACCAGCAGCTCCAACCAAACCCCCATGTGTTTGTAGGTATTTGACATCCTCCTTCCTTCACTTATTTATTTAATACACCATATTAAACTCGTAACCTGTTTGCAGGGTGTTTCAGGAGCAGACCGAGCGTTGTCGGTGCGGGTTCCTCTAGCCTCTTCTTCTTTGCTCCATCCCAGGAAGGCAAATACCTGCAGGCGGTGATTCAGTATGGGAAGATCGTGTCCTGGCTGGAAATGGAGTATGGCTTGTCTGAGAAAGAGTCGAAAGCCTCCGACTCCTTCCTCCTGGCTGCCTTCCTCAACCTGGCCATGTGCTACCTGAAGCTGCGAGAGTACGCCAAAGCCGTCGAGTGCTGCGATAAGGTAGAGGTGGACGAGCCTGCGGCTTGGAACATCCTCTCCTCCTGCACGTTTTCTTCGGGAGTTGGGGGTTTTTTGAATCGCTTTTCGTATAAGAAGCAATTTCCAAATGGCAGTGGGACGGTGGCATCCCTTCCCCACCTCGGGCTCTCTGCAGATGCTGCGTGCTTGGAGACTGCAGGAGCAAAAGTGCTTTTTCGGAGTTCAAAATCCCCCTGGGCGTGTGCTTACAACAGCTTTTCTTCCAAAGCCAGATCCCTGTGAGTGGATACTGCCTGGACCGACAGCCTTAGGGCGCTGCTTGGGTCTGCCCAGGCTGGATCTGGGCATCGGGCGCTGATCTGGGTACGGCAGAGAGTCTCGGCCGGAGCTGCAGCCCATCTCCCAGTCCGTTGAGGGGGGGGATGGGGCTCTCCCAGTCCCTAACAGAGCTGCAACCTTGTCTTTGTCAGCAAACTATTAATTCTTTTCTAAAAGGCTTAGATTTAAGCATCTTGTGTATGGGAAAGGTAGTGAAGCTAGTTGCCTTAATCTAAAAGGTGAATAATCTCCGAGATGCGTATGTGGCTTTTACTAAAGGAGGATCATGTCCCTGCTAAAGCGGGGAGGCAGAAGGATGTTTAACCCGTCAGCTCCCTTGCCTCCGAGCTCCCCGTGCTCCTCTGGACTGGGCTTGAGCCTTGACACCCGATTTCTTGTCTGTGGGTTTGTCTCCCACCGGCTCTGCTGCTCTGAGGGGGATTTTAAGCGAGGAGAAATCACTAATCTATATTAATGACCTGCCAACGGCTGATGGAGACGAGTCAATTTTATGTTGAGCAAGATGGAAGTGCTCTGGAGACTTGAAACCGCCTTGTCCTAATTTCGGCAGATTTAATGAGGCTTTGAACCGTAGGGAGATGTTTTAGGGGAGCCCCAGGTTGCTAACGGGGACCTGTGTGTTTCCAGGCGCTCGGACTGGACCAGGACAACGAGAAGGGTTTGTACCGGAGGGGTGAAGCCAGGTTATTGATGAACGAGTTTGAGCTGGCAAAATGTGACTTTCAAAAAGTGCTGGAAGTGAATCCCCAGAACAAAGCGGCCAAATCCCAGATCTCCGTCTGCCAGAAGAAAACAAAGGAGCACAACGAGCGGGACCGGAGGATCTACGCCAACATGTTCACAAAGTTTGCGGAGAGGGATGCAAAGGTGGGTGTTGCCTGTTTTTGGCCATCTAGCAGGCTGTGCTGAAGGATGCTCGGCAGGTTTGTGATGAGAAGAGATGGGTTAAAACCGATTAAATTATAGATCAGGTTGAGGATGGAGGGACAGAGCCTGCTGCAGTGGTTTGTTCCTTGGTCTGTCTTAGGCAGAGGCTGCCGTCAGGTGCTCAGTCGTCGGTGAAAGTATTTGCGGTGCGAGCTCCCGAAGGCTGAGAACGGGGTTGGCGTTTGTACTTGGTTTTGCTGTTCCCAGCCAGGGACTGTTGATGACCTCCTGGTCGCTGGTAAAATGAAATGTCATCCCGTCTCTGGCACGGCCAAGGGTATTTTGAGACATGATAGTATGGATTTCCTAAAGCCGGTAAAGTGATCGCCTGCTCCTCTCTGCTCGTACGGAGAGCTCGCTGTCTTGTAACAGGCTCTCATCCAAAATTCCTCTGAACAAAACCCGGTGTACTGTAACGAGAGAGGACACAGCTTTGCAGGCTGTCTGCGCGGGTCGTTTTTAGTATAATCTCTTCTGAACCGGTGCCTGGAGGTTGAGGCTGTGGAATAAGTGGCCGGTGCAGACCCTGGGGACCAGCGTTGGGTCGTGTGGCCAGCTCTGATGGGGAAAGTCACTGCTGGAGCAGGCGTAAGGCTTTGCCGTGCCGTAGTGCTCCTCTCTGGCACTGGCCGGACGGGCTGTGCCGGTGGCCGACTGTATGGGCTGTACCTAGAGCTCCGTCCCGTATCTCCACTCCGATGCTGCTGCTTCATCTCCTTGTCCCTCGGTGCCCCTGCGTCCGTCCCCGCAGGCTGGCACGGTGTCGGTGCCCTGCTCCCGTCGAGGTGGGTCCCATCGCTCCCAGAGCATCCCGTACCTTCCCCAAAACCTCGCTGAGCCGATGAGGTTTAACCTCCGCAGGGGTGAGGCAGGGGGTTGAATTTTGCCAGCGCTGCCAGGTTTGGCTGCCTCTACCCATCCCCAGCATCGCTATCACCTGCCTGCTCTTCCCTTCTCCGCTTTCCAACCCCCGTTGCTTTATTTGCTGTTTTGCAGGAAGCCGCTAGCAAAATCGGGGTCGAAAAAGCAGCGGAGAAAGCAGCTTGTGAAAAGGGACCGAAAACTCCTGGTGCTGAAGATGAAGAGGCTGAAGGACACGTATGATGGAGGAGGAGGGGAAGGGAGAGCCTCCTGACCTCGGCCCGCGCAGAAAAAGGTCGCTGCCAGACTTTGGGACTCGCCAGTGTTTTCTTGTAAAGCTTGTTACCGTTTGTGTGATCGTGGAAGCAAAAAGCGCCTCGGAAAGAAAAACAAACCCCGTCC